AAAAAAAAAAATACTGACTTTCAGGGTTTGAATATTTCAGAAATGTTACCATGATTTAAAATAATTTGTCTGTGATATATCACCTTTTCCCAAGAAGATTTAACTCTTCAGTTGGGTTAATGATAATTTTTCTAATCTGCATTTAATAGGTAACTGTAATATCACCTCACCATGGAAAATAAAAACTAAGGTAAAGAAAGGAAAGAATAAGGTTGGAGTCAAAGAGTTAACAGTATGAAAAAAGGGATTAAAATAAAATGATGAAAAATGCCTGCCTTTTTTCAACAGTGGTTGAGTTGGAGTCTTGCCATCCTCTTCCTCGTCTAGATTATATTTAAAAAACACAAAATATAAGTTAATTGCTTTTATATTAATAAAAAATCTAAATAGAGCACATTTATAAACAAAACATAGTACGAAGCAACAGTCCACAAAAAAAAAAAAAATCAAGGCTGAAGATTAATATTTTCTATACTGACTGTTAAATATTTTAAAAAGTAAACATATTTTAGACCTCTCCCCTAACATGGCAACTGATTAACACATCTAAATTTTATTTCTGTAAAATTATCAAAAAAACTTCAGCAGAGTTTTAAAACTTTCATATTTGAAATCAATTGTAAAGATGTTGAACTTATAGAGTAGGAATACGACATTTAAAAACTGATGCTGCGGATAGTAAATTTTAATCATGCTACTGCATCACTATGCAAATGACTGCAAAGCAATTTCAGAACAATTAATGGATATTTGGTATTTGTAAAAAAAACTAATCACTGTATCACCACTTGAAATATTAAGGAATTTGATCAGACAGAAGTCTCTTGCTTTATATAAGAGGCCAGGTTATAAATGATTTTTTCCCCAAATATATAAATTTATATATGTATGTGTACATATATTCATCCATTTATATTTAAATATCTATAAATATTTTTCTGCAGTTAACAGTTTTCCTAATCTAATTTTTTTCTTAATATCTAATCTTAATATCTAATCTATCTTAATATCTAATTTTTTTCTTGAATTATTTGTTTCGGGAATGTGAAAGCCTGGACTTGGACATGAAAGAACATACTGCGATGGGCTCTGGGGTTAGACGCCAAGATTCCAGCCTTACGTCTACCCCCTCTACTAGCTGTGTGAACTTCAGCTAGTCCCTGAACTCCTTGCCTTGCTCATTCGTAGAAGGGGCTAACAGTACCTACCTTAAGTAAGGCTGTTACATTGTAAGCATAATGCACTGAGCTTAGTGCCTGGCGCAAAGTTAAGTATTCAAAGGGTGTTCTTTTTGTCCCCTTGCACATCATATGCTTCAATAATCAAGACAGACATAACCAAATACTACGACTATATAATAACTACATTAGAATGTTTCTAATTCTGTAGACTTTAAAACTGTATAAACTTATGCCTGCTATGGAATATGAACAAATTATCATATTTAATTTTATAGCATTAAATATGCCCTTACAAAGCAGATGTTTAATAGTATCTGTCTTTGATGATTATAAAATTTATAACTGTGGACATTTTGTACTCATTTAAAAGAGCTCGGAAATGTCAAGGAAATCCTGACATTTCAAAATGATTTAAGCTAAGTTATTAAACATTTAGATTTTTACAATAAAAAAATGAGTAGAAATATACTGACCCAGTTTCCTCTTCTATAAAAATAATGATTTCATAAGATTGTAATAAGCTAATGTATGAATAACATCTACATGTGTTTGTACAGAGTAGATGTTTGATAAATATTACTTCTTCCCCTCCCATCACAACTTCACCTATTAATTCCTAACAGACTCTGTAGAGAAAGGATCAACAAAAAAAAAAAAAAAAAAAAAAAATGAAAGAATGTATAAAAAGCTGTTTTAGTCTAACTGGACAAATCAAGTTCATGCCTGGTTCTCTGAAAATATTTCTTTTGTAATCTGGTATCTCAATAATGTAAAGCTCAAGACTTTTTTTAAAAATAAAAAGTTGTTATCTGTAATACAAATGACAGAAGGGAGCTGAAGACAAACTAATACAGCTTTACAATTATCACACTGAAAGCTTAGTCTAAGGAAAAACTCCCTCGTCTTTATCTTTTGTCCTCTCAGTATGCGACACCCAGTTCTAAAGCCATATAACGAGCACATCTTTCTCTGAACCACAGAAAGATGGTGGGACTGTCTCTGAAGGGCACCCATCTGCTGTAAGTCTAAAAGGTAATACACCAAGGGAATTCCCATTTATATTCCCAGGAACTTGAAAAAAACAAAAACAAAAAACAAAAACAGTGTTGGTACTGTGCGCAAGCAAACGACTATTATGAAACTCCTACACCAAAATTTTAAAAGCAGAAATCCACAGGAGGAAATCTGATCACTTTTGCAGAATGCCATTCACTTTTCATGCTGCCATGGTATATGCAAACATGACAAATGATTTTGCACGATGAAATAATATGGCTACCAAACCACACTGCTCCATAACTCTCACCTCTATCTCCTTCTCATAAAATTCATGTATGTTGACATGACTGTGTATCTCCCAAACGCAGCACGACTGTGAGAAATATTGTAATTTTTGAAATGAAAAATATATTAGTATCAAAATTGAGGACTTGGCTGTTTACAGCTGATGGTAATGCA